CCCAGAGTGCTAGAATTGTAGTTGTGCACCACCACCCCAACTCTGGACAAGTTCTTAACCCTTATAGACCAGTTTCCTTCATTTTCCCTATCAGTAAAGGTTTGCACAGTGTGCTGTTTTGTATTCTGCAAAAATATACATAGCATTTACCATTTTAGTCATTTTTCCCATTTTAACCATTTCTAAATGTCTACTCCAGTGGCATTAAGCACAGCTGTCCCCCCCCATGCATAATAAAGACTAAATTGCAGAACCCTCCCTCTGATACCAAAATCTGCAAGTGCTCAAAGCCCACATATCTGCAAGAAAACTAAACACATCCTCCCATATACTATTTTTTTAAGATGGGGGTCTCACCATGTTGTCCAAGGTCATGTCAAACTCATGGACTCAAACAACTCTCATGTTTCAGCCTCCCATGTAGCTCAGACTGCAGGTACACAACACCATTCCACAATTGTTCAGCTGTCCCATTCACTTTAAGTCATCCGGGGTTACTTAGAATGCTAATACCAGGCAAACATTATGCAAACAGTTGTTACACTGCACTGGTTAGGGAATATGGCAAGAAAAAATGAATAGTATACATGCACAGTACAAACACAATGTATTTTTTGGCAGTATTTTCAACCAGCAGTTGGTCCAATGTGCAGATATAGAAACTACCTATCTAAGGACTGGCTGTATATTCAAAATTTTGTTCAGCCATCACTACCACCCATCTCCAGGGTTATCTCATCACTCTGAAGAGAAACTGCACTCATTAAACAATAACTCCCACTCACTACTCCTCCATTCCTGGTAACCTCCACTTTCTGTCTCTAAGTTTCCCATGCTAGCCACCTCACACAAATGGAATCATTCTATTTTTGTATGCTTTTTGTACAAAAGGTTTTACACAGCTTCTTTCATTCAGCACAATATCCTTAATGTTGTACAGCATATATCAGAATTTTGTTCTTTTTACGTAAGAATATTTAGCCAGGCGTGGGGGCGCATACCTGTAATCCCAGCACTCGGGAGGCTGAGGCAGGAAGATCATTGCGAGTTTGAGACCAGCCTGGGCTACAAAGTGAGCTCAAGGCCAGCCTGAACTGCATAGTGAGACTGTCTCAAAAAGACAAAATAAAAATTTTGCTGTATGCTAACGCCATAGTTTGTTCATTCATCCACTGATATAGTCAGGTCAGTTTTTAAATTAAAAGTGAAGCACCTGATATGAATTTATCACAGTTTTTAAAAAAAGCATCTGGCAAATTGTAGGCACTTTAGTATTACAATCATGTTGCTTAACAATGAAGATACATTCTGAGAAATGTGTTGTTGGGTAATTCTGTCATAATATAAACTACAATGGCTACAGTGTCACTGGTATATCATCTATGAATCCACCCTTCTTTACATGGCCTGTCACTGACCAAAGCCTTCTTACAGAATGCATGACTGTAATTCCTTTCTCATTTCATTTTTGTCACATTCTTGTACCACGAAGTAACGCTGCAGCAAGATATGGACCTGTACAGCCCTTTGAAAAATTTATCAGGATAACATCTGAGATACTACTAGATTTGCTAATCTTTATACAATTTAAAAAGAAATCTATAATTACATTATCACTACTTCTTTCAGGTTAGCTTTAAAACCTAATTCAAATTATTCCAATAAACTTATTCATTCCAACAAGACACCTTTCAATTAAAATATGCTACCTCTCTTGTTCTTTCCTGGTATTTTACACAAGGATCATCAGTTTCAACATCCAATCAGACCAGGCATGGTGGTGCACACCTGTAATCCCAGCACTCAGGAGGCTGAGGCAGGAGGATCCTTGCAAGTTTGAGACTAGCCTGGGCTACAAAGTGAGCTCAAGGCCAACCTGAACTGCATAATGAGACCCTGTCTCAAAAGGACTCCCCCCGCAAAAAATCAAATCAAACAAATACTAAATGTTAGACATCCAAGTGATTTACTAAGCTTTTCTAGTTCCCTGAAGTGAAAAACATGAAAATACCAGTGGTTACACTTAAAGAATATCCAATTTTCAAAGCCGGGAATAGCAGCACATGCCTGTAATCCCAGTACTTGAAAGCCTGAGGCAGGAGGACAGCAAGTTGGAGGTCAGCCTGCGCAACATAGTAAGTTGAAAGCCAGACTAGGCTACAAAACAAGACTCTGTGTCAAAAAATTAACTTACAATTTCCAGTCAGGCACAGTGACACACATTCCTTTAATCCTAGCCACTTGGAAAACCAAGGCAAAAGGATCCCAATCTGAGGCCAGCCTGGGCAATTTAGCAACTTAGTGAGACCCTTTCTCAAAATTTAAAATAGGCTGGAGATGGAGCTCAGTGGTAGAGGCTTCCTTAGCATGTCCAAGGCCCAGGATTCAAACCCCTGCACCACGGGGGGTAGGAACTCAGTTTTCAATTCCATAGATTATAACAGGGGAAAACATCAAAATTTATCTACCTTGACAATTATTTTTCTTTGTAATTCTGCCTCACAAAAACAGTGAAGGGCCAGGGATATAGCTCAGTGGCATAAGTGCCTGCCTGGCAAGCACAAAGTCCTGAGTTCGATTCCCAGTACCAAAAAAAAAAAAAAAAAAAAAAACGGTGAAAAAGACCTTCTAAAGTTCTTCCTGACATAAATATTAATATGCCCTATTTATTTTCCAAGTTCCTTTGCCAAATGTTTTCACATCTTTCCTATTTCCTTAATTCATTCCATTATTTTAAAGTCCCTATTCTCTGCCAGGTGTGGTAGCGTGGTGGAACACACCCATGATTGCAGCACTATGGGAGGATGAGGCAGGAGGATCACAACTTTGACTCACCTAAGCAATTTAGTGACTTTTCAAGACCCTGCCCCCAAAAAATAGAAAGACCAAGTAACAGAGAGAGCAAAAGAGGGAGGCAGGGAGGGAGGGCAAGGGAGAGAGGGAGGGAGGGAGAAAGAGAGATTGAATTTGTAAAATCCCTACTCCAGCCACTGCCAACCTAGGTGCTAGGTATACAAAGAAAAAATAAGACAGCCTCTGCCTTAGGCGCTTAGAGGAGTGTAGCAGTCAGAGAGAGGGAAGCGTGAACAAGTGATTATAATACAATTCGAAACCTACTATAATGAAAGTGTGCACAAAGCCCTGTGGGAACACAGAGTGCCTGGGAGCTCAGGAAGGCCTCTAGCAGTAAAGCACATCGTCTAATGAAGCTTTTTCTGGATTTAACGAATTGTCCTCTCCACCTAGGCGCCTCTCTGAAAGGTTTCACGAGCCCACATAATTCTTTCACAATTTACAGAAAAATTTTTCATCATCTATACTGACATAAAGACCAAAACTAATTCAAGGACAGTTTCTAACTGATCCTGTAATTCATTTTTATCATCATAAATATTTACCCTTGTTGGTTTGTTTTCTTTTAAGCAGCAACTTTCTTAATCATTGTTTATTTAGAGGCTGAAATTGAAACAAATCTGCACTTCTTGAGCCTGTCACCTCAAAGCATGGGAGGCTTGACAGTAGTCTAGAGAAACCTGCCTAGTTTTTAAGCGGCCAACACAAAAATATTACCTGTGTGTACCATACCAGACAAAGCCAGCATGAAAAAGAACTTTTCTGTCTAACTACACTAAATCAACAAGTGTTTTTCTTTTCCATCACTACTAAACCAAGTATATTTTCGATTCTATCAAAAAACAAAATTTTCAATCAGAAAGGCTTTTTCAAAAACAATCTTGTGACAAGAACAAAGATATAGAGAATACACATGAAGGGCAAAATTAGAATTTTTAAATCCTAAAGTACCCAAGTTTCTGCCGAAAATCTGCACAATTAAATACATTTTTTATAATACATCATTTTTTAAATACATCATTTTTTTTAAATACATCATTAGTAAACTAACACAAACGTAAACCTGATTTTATAATCTCAACACTTACGGCAGTACCTCAACGGCAATATCTCAAAAGCTGTACCTCAACGCTGCACAGCACACATACACAGATTTTTATAATGCATTTCTTTGTCTCCGTGTAAGTTAGCAGATGAATCTTAGGTCTTCATCAGACAGAACAATGCAAACAGAAAAACATCTATATTTTTTAACTTTCTTGGAATATATTCATTTCCCACAAAAATGACAATTTAGGATGCAATTTTCCTAAGTGTTTCTGGAACTTTAAATATCACATTCCCCAGCACACCCTGAAAACACAGGAGAATTCTTTATTTCTTACTAGTAGAATCCTATCCCTAACTTTACATACCAGGAGCAGAAAACTTAAAAATATAGCTTACTTTCATTTTCTTGCAAATAAAATTATGAATAAACTAGTTGGAATTACACATTTGCTCTCCATTTTATCCCTAAATATGAATTAGTTCCTAATGTTCAATGAGGAAGAAAAAAACCTCAATAAATAAAAAACCCAGAAACCCTAGAAGTATAAACTATTCAGTTGTGCCAACGTTAGTGTTTTTAAGAATTTATTTTTCAAACGTTCCGTGTGATATTAGACCACCATAAAACTAAACTGGCAACGACTTTCTTCAAACCCAGAAAGTCTTGTACTTTCAATACCAAGGATTTTTATTTCCAAATGAATTTACATTTCGTAGATCTTACGTGATAAACTACTTTTAACTGTAGGCAGCATACATTCAATTTCTTAGGCAACAAACATTTCCACATCCAGCCTTTTCTGACTCACCAAAGCTATTGTTCACAGAAAACGAGACCAATTAATAAGAAACTGCCAACCGTACAGTCCAAACACACGTTTGTCACAGGCACCTTATTACCCTCACTTATTTCCACCACCTCAGCTTCATTTAAGCCCCCGGGATTTGGGGAATAAGCACGGACTAAACGGCAGTTAATTTCGTTAGCACCTGTCGCCATTCTCAGAGGCATCTCACAAGTTGGCCAAAACGGCTCCTTTTTTTTTTTTTTTTAAGATTACGATTCTTTAGAAAGCAGGACTTCAAAGGACATTTACCAAGTTTTCCAAAAGACAGTGCTCCTCGATCCTCCCCATTTTCAAAAAGTAAGCCGGCGCGCGGCGCGGACACTCGGGGGGTGGGGGTGGCGGGAGCACACAATGCAGCGGGGTCCACGGCGACCTCCGCGCCAGCGAAACGGAGCTGGCGGCGGCGGCCCGAACCTGCCCCAACTCAGCCCGGAGCCGGCGGGCGGGGACGGCGGC